ACGCTTTATCCACGATCGTGTAAGAGAACACCTGAACAATGACAACTCCTCCGTGAAGAAACACATTTCAAAGTGCCAAAACAAAGTCCTTAAAGGCATCGAAATCAAGACCATTGTACTAGAAAACGACCCCGCAAATCTACGACTGTTCGAAACGTTTTCCATACGAAACTACAAACCTGCCCTCAACTCCCGAGAGGAATGCAGCGAATTGGCGGACCTTTCATTCTAATAATTATTTTAACATATCTAGAGACTCTATGTACTTTGACACTCGCTCATTAGATCATATCATTCGTTTTTATTCACATTTGCATCTTATTTTTCTCATGCATTTTACCCCCACATTCTTTCGCTTTTCACACGTTTTTACTTTACATCTGTAAATAAGCCTTACGCGGAATATTTTTCTTATCCCTGATGATTCCGTAGATCGGCGAAAGCTTGGATTTTTTAAAAGATTTTAATATCATTTTACAGTAGTGTAAGGCCTCAATTGAACTTTTATCAATTCCTTCTTAATGCTTCCTACAGTTTTTCTTTTCAAACTTAGGGAAAGCGCTACTGAGTTTTTCGAAATTAAAAGTATATTTTGGCAAAATATACTTTTAATTTCGAAATTTGCCATAGATACGATTAATTAGTAATTGAACTCTGTGTCGTACAATTTAGGGACTAATTGTACTCGCAGTTTCAAATCGGCTTCGCGCTTCGCGTTTGTCCGATTTTCAAACTATTCGCACGATTTCTCCCTAATTTGCACGCCACAAGGTCCAATTAGTATTACTTATCGGTATAATACACTTGATATTGCTAAGAATCGATAAAGTATATAAGGCACGCTTATTTCCTGGAAAAGACTATTGACTAACGAACAAATTTTCCTTGCAGGAAAAGCGTGCCTGACAAATTTTGTTTACTTTTTTTGTGAATGAGCAGCAATTCGGCTCTTTTTATTGGCTTGTGTACCTTGTGTAATTTATTGACAGAGAAAGCTCTCTTGACAAGTTTTTCTTTCACGCCAACCACAGTACTGTATGTGCGCTGTGTATATAGACTCTTAAAGGAATATCATATGCTAAAATTTCATTTGCATAAAACCTTAGCTTAAAATGTTTCGCCGTTCGTGTGAGTAAGTGTTACTCTATCTTTGACAAGTTTTTTCTTGATAGGGTACAAATTTCATATTCAAGCCCAAGTTTTGCCCAAATGCCAGTGTAAAAATAAGCACACCTCAGTTCAATAAACCTCTTCAGACACCTTGTTTAAAAGACTTGCACGACAGTTTTTGAACGGAAATTCAAAGAGAAACCACATCACTGCCCCACACACAAGCAGGAAAAACTTGTAATACGAAATCGTCAACTTTATTTTTTATTATTAATATTTGTTGAATCAGTTTTTATTGCATTGCCTAGGTCACTTTGCGATGGACGTGGAAGCCGACCAGGGGGATGTGTTCGCATTGTATTTCTTCCAGATGTCGTTTGCCACAACTGCTACAACTATTGTATCAGGCGCAATGGCGGAAAGGACTCATTTAAATGCGTATACAATTTACTCTTTCACCAACACCATATCTTACGTCTTTCCTGCACACTGGCTTTGGGGTGAAAAAGGCTTCCTCAAGGAACTTGGAGTAATTGATGTCGCAGGTAAAAAGTGAAAAAAATGACGAGAACTTACGAAACCTGCGTGACAGCTTACACAAATGTAGAACCAAAACGTTTGAGACTGGTGTTGTAGAAAACCAAACACTTGGGTTGGTTGGGCACGTTTAAGTTAGTTTAGGAGTGGCATGAATTTTTATTTTAGTTTTTTAGCTTTTCATCAAAGTTTCTGTTTATAGCTGTTCTCCAATTTCGACGTCAGCTAAAAACTCAATAAAAATTAAGCAATGAAAAACTATTTTATTCAAGAAAAAAAATTAAGCAATTGCTGGTTTTCAGTGTCACGCCATTCAAAATAGATCAAAATAAAAATCAAAACCGTTCAATAGATAAAGTCCAGAATCTGAGAAAAGGAAGA